ACTGTGATAGGGCTTCAGGCGGGAAACATGCACAATGTCACTTCTGGATGTAACAGTGGTAATCGTAGTGGAAGAAATTTCATAGATGACAGGTGTGACTTGGTGCAGAACTTGGTAAGGCCCCACATATTGCGATAAAAGTTTCTCGCAGAGGCCGACACAACGGGATTGGAGCCACAGTAGCACGGGAGAGAGCCCGGAGAAAAATCGACATCGCTATGTCTGCTGTCGTAGAGCGACTTCTGTGCTCTCTGGGACGATGAGAACCTGGCGCGGGCTACTGTACGTGCGATGAGAGCACGGGAAATGGCATCTTGTGCGTACGAAGTGGTAGATGGAAGGTCATGCGCAAGCAGGGTATCGAAAGGTAGTAAGGAATCATGGCCAAAGAGAAGATAAGATAGTGAGTAGCTGGCACTTTCATGACGAGACTAGTTGTAGGCGACGGTTACGAACGGAAGGGCAGTGTCCCAATCGGTGTGGTCGTCAGAAACATACATAGCAAGCATGTCCGTCAGTGTGCAGTTGAGGTGTTCAGTAAGTACGTTAGTCTGAGGATGGTAAGAAGTTGTAAAGTTGTGCCGCGTAGCCCAGGTTCTAAGGAGGTCGTCAACCACACAAGACAGGAAGCAGCGGCCACAGTCTGTGAGTAGGTGAGAAGGAGCGCCATGCTGAAGGATGATGTCATAGAGTAGGAAATCTGCGACGTCCGTTGCGCAGCTGGTCGGTAGCGCTCAAGTAATTGCATACCGAATGGCATAATCCATAGCTACTGTTATTCATTTGTTTCCCGTTGTCGATGTTGGGAAGGGACCTAACAAATCCAAACCCACCCGGTAAAATGGCTCGGCTGGGACTTCAATAGGTTGAAGGTGATCACCGGCAGGAGAGACGTAGGCTTCTTCTGACGCTGGCACAGGTCACACGCTGCAGCGTAGTGGCAAACGGAATGATAAAGACCCTTTCAGAACTTTCAGAATACCCATCAGCAAGCACGGTCATAGGTTCTGGAGACACCGAAATGTCAAGAAGTTGGGGCGTTATGAAGTTCTTGCAACATGTCCTTGTGTCAAGACAACATGTCAATTCGAGGTAGAAGATAAATATCCTTCTTGGTTATTCGATTAAGATGGCGATAGTAGACGCAGAACCGCCTGGTGTTGTCCTTCTTTTTAACAAGCACAACAGGTGATGCCCAAGGACTGGTCGAAGGCTCCATGACGTCTTAGTCGAGCATTTTCTCTGCCTCCTTCTGGATTATTTGGCGCTCAGAATGAGACACACCGTAAGGACGCTTATGAAGGGGACTGGCGTCGGCAGTGTCGATACGGTGGGCTACGACCTTCATGCGGCTCAAGGAAGGGTCATCGATATAAAAAATGTCGAGATACAAAAATGAAACACCGTGGAGTGCTTCAACTTGGGACGGCGACAGGTCGTTTGATATCATTTTGTCTAGGAAAGCTTTATGCTGCGCGGCTAGGACAGGTTCCGCTACGGTCTTGATGTCAGGAGTGAGAGATGAAATTGTACATTGCTCCAGAGTGGAGAGTTCTGCTAAGGCAATACCTTGAGGAATGACCCGGGTCGACACATATAAGTTGAGGACAGCGAGAAGTGTCTTGTTGTCTCTAATCCTCACTATAGTATGAGGAAGTATGATGTTCCGGGAAAGGGTCAGGTCAATGAGTGGAGCTACCAAGTAGTCGCCATCAGGAACAGGTGGGAACGGCGACATAGAAAGGTACACAGCGGCCTGAGGCGGTAATCGTAGACACTCCACAGACCATAGCCGTGTGCGTGCTGTAGGAGGGACATCAGAGTACAAAGGCAACTCTAGCTGTAAAGTGCCGGTTGAACAATCGATGAGGGCTGAATGCACAGTCAAGAAATCAATGCCGAGAATCACGCTGTGTGGGCAAATGTTTAGAACAGCGAAAAGGACTGAAGTGTGAGGGCCGGCAACAGTGACGCGGGCAGTGCACATACCAAGAACTGATGTTCAGCTGTCCTTGGCTACTCGCACAGTCCAAGACATGGCAGTGGTAAGAACTCTTTCAGGCAGGATCGAAGACATGAACTCATAACGGATATGTGGGCACCAGTGTCTATTAGAGCTGAAACGGTCAGGCCATCGATGAGAACACCAAGTAAATTTCATCTGGAATGAGTGGTCGGTATTGGATGCTTGTCTTTTCTTAAGAAGATGATGAAGTGATAGCAGTGGTCGAAAAGAAGGCGTGAACTCTCAAGAAAGAGGAGAAAGAAGAAAGCGTTCGCCATGGACTGTTCTAACTGCTATATGTAAATAATGTAAATATAGTCTTGTTTCTTCAAATGCCGTGACCAGTTTTTTCACAGTCGGTAGAGGTTTTTCGGTCCGAGTTGTCAATGCAGCGCCACCTCCAGGAGCTGCATCTTTTAGTTTCCCGAGAACTGCCCAGAGTACGCCGGTGACGGGGAGCAATGGCGTTGTAACAAGTGGGGCTGGCGACCCTGAGGTGACGGCGAGTGGCTGGACCGGGTTTTCTGGACGACGACATCGCGAAGGATGGTTCAGAGTGTAGCGTAGAACGGCTAGGTGGGAGGTCCTGAAGGTGGTCATCGGCAAAACGAGGTGGAGAATACTGCCCACGATCCTGTCCATGGTCGTCTAGAAAACATTGCCTTAAAGACCATCTGTTGCCGCAGTAGCGGGAAATGTGGCCAACACAATGGCAAGGGAAGCATATCGGTCAATCATCTTGTGTGTCCACTCAGATTTCGGTAGCGCGATGAGAACCGCGAGACTGATGCGGCTGTAGCAACAAGTGGGGCGGCATGGTAGGGAATGTTATGAGCGTAAAGATTTATGGGCTGCGGTGTGTGACGGGAGTTTTGGGGAACTAAGACGCCCATGTTGGCAAACTCTTGTCATACAACAGCCTGAATAAGAGATATTGGGGCCAAGTTGTTAGGCACAGGGGGTAATAAGCGGAAGGAGCCATGGCTTCCAGCTCCTGGCGGACAATTCTTGTGACGTTTTTAGGATTCACGAATGGACGTGATGCCACGGGATCCCCGCAGAAAGAAATCGCAGTGGTGTTCGGGAGTAGGGAAAAGCGTTGAGTGATTATCCTGCTTTTGGCTTGTTCGAACTGCCGACATCACTGACAATTGAGTCAATGGTGGTACAGTTCTTGCAGATTAGAATGTTGAAGGCATCGTCAGCTATGCCCTTCAACACATTGCTGACCTTGTCTAGTTCGGTCATGTCTTTGTTAGCCTCTGGCACAAGGCGAGCACGTCTTGAATATAGGTGACATATGACTCGGTGGAAGATTGAACTAGTGACGCGAGTTTCTGCCTGGCTGCCATTTGTGAAGCAACTGACCAGCTGTACAAGTCACGGAGCTTCTGCTTGCACATGTTCCAACTCGTCAGGTCTTCTTCGTGCGTCTCATACCAGGCGCGTGCAGTACCTCGCAGGTAAAAGATAATGTTGGCCAGCATAAGCGCCTCATCCCACCTGTATTGCTTGGTGATGCGCTCGTATAAGGCGAGCCACTCGTCAATGTCAGTTGTGTCGATGCCGCAAAATGTACTCGGATCGAGAAGATGGGAAGAGATCACAGGTGACGGAGCAGGCGTAGACTGAACGGATGGCGCACTGCCTTCAGGCATCATGGCTGGACAAAGCTGACGTCCGCTACGGAGATCCAGAGTCGGAATGTTGCCCAGCACCTCCACCAAAAATATGTAATGGGGAGTATTTAATAAGTTAACGCCGGTTGGGCTAACACTGCACATAGTGCGCAAGGATTCAGGAAAACAGTGCAGTCCAGACACAGCCCCACAACAATATCATTGTCTTCATTCCTTCTGTGTCATTTCTGCGCCCGTGCCTTAGGTACCTTTTTATACCCGTGACAATGTTACAATGAAAATTGATACAGTTGGTTGATTTCTTTTATCATTAAAGGCCAGTCAGGTGGAAGTCCCCTGTACTTCTGCAGAAAGACAGCGCTTGCAAAAGGGGAACTCCTGTGTTTTTTTCGTATTCACCGATTTCAATAAAACTTTCAACGTGTGTTCTCGTCGGTACCGAGGTGATATGTGCCAAACTATACAACCGTAGTTCGTTTAGTTTTTTAGAAAACAAATTTTAGAATTTGTAGCTGATTCTGGAATTACACTTGTAAATGCGGGCCACCCTGTGTATGTGACGTAAGGGACTCCTCTTTTTCAGAAACCCTGCCTTTCTCAGCAGATGGATGGAGCGGTCGCTTTCTTCTACGAGGCGACGGCAAAACGAGAACAGTTCAGTTTTGTCAGCTGCGTACAGCATGTTAGTCGCCGTTGATGTTGGGTTTTACAATATTGAGCAATGAGAAAATCGATTCGGGGGATGTCAGATGCTTCATGAGCCTGCAAGTCGAAAACAAGTGATGCTTCCGTGCTCAGATAGTAGCTGCAATCATCATTGAACTTAAAGTTCAGACAAGCTACCACAGCTAGATTTCGCGTCGAATGACATCGCCAACTTGCTTTTCGCGCTATGTTTAGATCTTGGCCAACCGTTCCGGGGTGTATCGGATCTCGTGACGTCATCGGTGATGGATTCTTGTGACGTCACCCGATACCCACCATGAATGACGGAGCAGCTCCCTGTTTTGGTTTCCGTTTTGACTCGTTGTTTATTGCTGAGTTAAAATTTTTGACGAGTGCCTGGGCAAAATGAGCCACCCTAGCTTCTGCAGGACTGTCAATACTATTTGAAAACAGCATTATCTCAGTATGGCCATAAATGCACCAGAGTTTCCCTTTAATTAGCAAGCCAGCCATGCTAGCTTGGTGAGCTGCGACAGATTCCCAGCCAGATAGGGCCCCCACTCTGCTTTCGGCAGTTGTGTGGAGAACTTGCCAAGGTTGGCCTGCAATGACTCATTGCACCACCATTCTGTGTTCCCAGTTTGTGTTCCCTGAGAGTGCATGTTTTAAGTGTGAACTGCGCTGCGCAGCTCCTGTGGTGGCTCCAGCGAAGCAGCCAGGCAAAGTCCCCGGGGCTCTTCTTCCAGCCCCTGGAGCCACTGCCGTCACACTGCTCCCCCCCAGAGCATGTCGTCTGCCAGCCGGAGCCAAAGCTGGACGAAAGGTCCAGCATTGAGGTCCAACCAGAGCCAACTGTCGGCCACACAACACCTATAGACATAAGACCATCCTTGTAAGAATCACCAGTGGTATTTCTTCTAATGCGCTGTACTCTGTGTAACTCAGTGGTATTTATTTCTTCTAATGTGCTGTACTCTCGTTAACTCAAAGGAATTTGAACTGTGCAGTCGGCAAAGTTGCATGCTATTTAATTGGGCCAAGACCACAAATTGTAGCTCTAAAATGGACTGAGTGAATATATGTATATGAAACAAGATTTCTCACTACTACAAGTTGCCTTTGGCAGAAATGTTGCAGTTTTATTTTTGTGGAAAAAAAAATTGTAGATCCCACGTATCATGGGAATCAATTTTATGGAGAGCATGCTGAGGGAAGGTGACTGTGTTGTAATTTTTTTTATTGGAACAAAATGCTACAAAATAACGTTAAATATGTGTACAAATTTAAGAGACTCTTCAGCCAAGCTCGTTGGTATGGATTCATTGGAAAACGCACTGCTTACCCGTTCGCGGGTGTGTGCCACACATTCGGCGGAAAGGGCTTGACGACGTATGAGGCAGGATTGGGACATAATTATGTCGTGACCAGCGAGTCATATTCGTCGAACCATCGTACCCTTCCATACTAAATCTGGTTTACCCCTAGGCAAGAGGGTGATCACGGGAGCGTCCAGATGTAGGTGGCTAGGCAGACAGACAGGGCAGGGCCAACAGTGCTTGCAGTATGTAAAGAAACACTTTGCAGTTAAAAAAGCAGTGCAATGTGTTGCCTTTCACTTCATGTTTCCAATTCCAAGTTTTTGCGTATTTCTTTACTTCAAATATGAAAGGCATTACAGCACTTATTGGCACACCATTGGAGACAGAGGGATGAATGTGGTGAATTCTTTCATGAGGTAATCACAGCAGTTGTGCCAGAGGCAGCAGTTTCTTGATGTTCTTCAAACACATAACTTGTATTAAAACAAAAACACAAGCTAGCTGGTCAATGTGCATCATTTAAATGTTGGTGCCAGAGAAATCTTGTTTTAATAATTCCTGTTTGACTATAATATATGCTATGTAAAAATTTTTGTCTGAAATTTCTGTTTACTAGATTGCAGCGTTTCCTAATCTAGTGTGGTTGTTATTTTCAAGATGTCAGCAAAGGGAGCCCCGCCACGGTGGTCTAGTGGCGAAGGTACTCGGCTGCTGACCCGCAGGTCACGGGATCGAATCCGGGCTGCGGCAGCTGCATTTCCGATGGAGGTGGAAATGTTGTAGGCTCGTGTACTCAGATTTAGGTGCACGTTAAAAAAACCCCAGATATTCTAAATTTCCGGAGCCCTCCACTACAGGGTCTCTCATAATCATATGTTGATTTTGGGGCGTTAAACACCACAAATCAATCAATCAGTAAAGGGGGAAGGTTCTTGCTGCCAAGTTGGGCTGCCTGAACCTTATTGTTACGGTTAATTGGAATGAGCATCAACCAGATGATGCATATTGATTACCACTTGTGATAATTTGTTGCATTTATAGGAAGGGATGCTTTAATTTGAGTGCTGTGTACATCTCTGCAGGAGACCATCTTTTGATGCTGCTGAAACTGTGCCATCGAAAGTAGGCTTTGAGGACGACTTTGCTCAGAGTGCTGCGGTATTGGCGGTAGTGTGCCCCGCCGGGACTGCATCCAGTGCTCCTGCTGTAGCATCAGTGACGGCTGCGAGTGCTGCACTGTGGAGCAACTCGCTTTCCGAGACAGATTCGGACCAGGGTCTGAGCCCAACGCGCAGCCCTCTTCGACGCAAAACAAGGCGCCTTCTTGAGAGGCAAGTGGACGAGACAAAGCTAAATTCTTAAGATTTTATGAAATACACTTGCTAGTGGCATCATGCTGAAGCAAAAGTGCAGCTTTTGTATTGTGCAAAACGGCCAAAAATTGATTTATGACCAAAATTTCAGTTTCTGTAAACTTTTTTCCAATTTCCTAGTACCATATTTACTCCGATAATCTTTGCACTTTTTTTGTGCAAAAAACCGATAAAAGGTTTGGGGGCAGCAATTACTCGGGGAAAGTTTTCACCGCAAACATGCAAAGCAACAAAGAAAACAAAAGGGCCGTAAATCAGGATTTTAATGCCAGGAACTAACTACAAGCTTTGATATATACTAATCAAGACTTAAGTTATCAATGAAACCACAGGTTCAACACAAAGCAAGATTTATTTGCAAACTCTAAAGCCACTAGCAAATAGTGTCTCGGGGGCTTCGTGCGGAGACACTTGACATAATCTAGAAGAGCCGCCTCAACTAATGGACCTGTCCTAGGCCCGCAGAAGGCCCAGCATGTCTTGTTGGTGGCTTTCAGCTGCTCGTGCCAGCCGGTGGCCCTGTTGCCATCGTCTAGTGCATAGTTGATCACTTTCAACTTAAAAGCAGCTTTGTAGTTTTCATATCGACCCATAGCATAACCTCAGAACAGGCGCTACAACGTACATTACATTAAAAGGGCCATGCAACACTTTTTGAGCATGGTCAGAAAACACTGCCGATCGGTAGTAGAGGCTCCCGAAAAAATGCGAGCCAAATGTTATAGCGCAGCACGCAGCCTGGAATTTACAATAAATTATCAGTCAGCTAAAAATTGCTTTCTCTTCCCTCGACAAATGGCAGAAGATGCTCAATAATCACGTGTAGATTGCCCATCTATCAGCCATTGGTTGATTTGAACATGGAGTGCTTGGTTGTTACAGAGATCACTGCGAGAGGCCGTCGCTTGTCCACACGTGCCCACGCGATTGCACTGAAAAAGTCGTGTATTCGAAGAAAAGAAAAAAAAAGTGCTCAAGGTCATGAGGCGTGCGTGACATTTTTCGTTTGCCCCTCCCATTCCTCCCTGCTTAGCTTCTAGTGCTTTCTTTGGGATGAGAGAAGAGAGAATGTGATTGCAGCGTGTGACAAATCTTTGTAACTCTGCTCGTACTGGACAGATTCTTGAAATTTTTTTGATGTTGAATTTGTGAGGCAATATGCTTTTTTAGTGAATTAATTTTATGGTTGCTCAAAACAGTGTTTCAGGGCCCCTCTAAAGCTACCCGGACTACCAATGCAAGCACTAACATGTCACAACACATACTTGTGATTTTGGTTTGACTTGGATTAAATTGGGGATCAGTGCGTAGATAGTATGCATGGTGCTTAAGAGATGGCGCTGGGGTGTCATGCATCATCATCATCATCATCTGTGGTGGAAAGAACACATTACTGCTGCAGTTTTCAGGGTTGCAATAATTACTCACAAAAAAAAAGTATTTTAGCTGATTCGCGTGATGCAAAAATTACACAAGTGCGAGGATTACACAAGTAAGTACAGTATCTTCGCTGAAAACCATTCCCGAAAAGTTTTAAAAATTTTTTACCCCTGCTGAGGTGGCGAAAAATAGGCAGAGACTGCTGCGCCGCGCGGCGCATGAGCCACCCCCAAACAGAAACGGCTGCTGCGCCGCACGGAAGTGATGTCATGCATTTTCCGGTTAGGCGCTTTGTTTGAATAGTTGGGAGTGTCTAGCGGTGCGTCTAGACATAACGATAAAAGCAGTAAAAATTACGTCCAAACGAAAAAATGAACAAAAATGTTAGTTAGGTTTAGCGTGACAACAATACAAAACCGGCTTGTTTGCCATCTCAAACTGATCGGCAGCTGTGGCGTAGTTGGTTAAAGCAACACATCAACTGGTGAGGTCGGTGGTTCAAGTCCCATTGCAGTTATCGATACTTTCTCTTTTTTTGTTCACGCATGTATTGTTCTAACATTTGCGCCTCCTCATCAGCCCGACTTGCTGGTGGTGGTGGTCCCGTCCACAGGCCCTTTAATATTGGATCTTCGATGACTCTTGTAGGATTGACTATATTTATTATAATAAAGTGTTTTGCAAATTAGTGCTCTTAATCGGCGAGACGCAAAAAGACACAAAAAACTCGAATGCAGCTGGCTGCATTGGTTTCTTCGGCACAGGTGTCAGGAATGTTGATTTCCACGGTTTATCAAAGTTTTGATGACAGAAAGGTGCACTGCAACGTGGTCTCTGGCAACTTTTTTTATGTCGCTCAGTGTACCATCACCTGACGAGGTAACCGGCTGGCCACTTTCTTTAAAAATACTGACGTGTCACCGCAATGTTCTAGGCGATCAGCACTTGATAAACAATGCCCAAGGGCAAGTGCCGACGGCGTTAGCCCATCTAACTACAAAACAGCTTGTCTGCCTTGCTCAATAACACGCGCGGCCTGTGACAGCACGGGAGCATTCACGTAGCAACGAATGAGAACGGCCGTACGTGTTCACACTTGACAAAACAGACGGCAATGCAGAGGCTCTGGCCTTCGTAGATCACAGGCTTCGTAAGAACGTGTTGTTTCCATCCACCGTATGAACACTCCGCCGACGCACTGGGGTTTCATGCATGTGCGTCCGGTCAGTCACACGTGAACTATGCGAAAGCATTTATTTCATCGTCGACCTTGTCCTTCGCGACAAGCAAAACTCGGCAGCAAGAACACTTTCACCTTTGACAACACCACGCTTGGCATTGCAATCTAGAAAATGCAGTACGTCCAACAACTGTAATCTGCACATCATACTGAGAAACTTTATGGCTCACACACTCAGATGAAGCTGCGGCGCGGTGGACGGCCGCGCTAGCTCCAACCACCAGGTTCAACTAAGCATCCAGCAATCACATGAAGCAGCGACGACACTCCAGTCCTTCTTGGGAGTGGCCTAGGCCATGGCCACGATTTCATCGGAGTTTTCACCACCTAACACATCGCAGGCGGCTACCATCTTGCAGTGTTTACCTTTTGCAGCCGCAGCGCCCATGGCGCCCCCTGTACTTAGAATACTTGTAATATGCATTTACATAACAAACCTAGGCTAATTGACTCGTTAAACACCTGCTTACTAAAATTTTGCGTAGGTTTAATGCATTACACACGAATAGTTTACACTTTTAAGTAGCTTTAGGCAATAAAACTTAAAGTGACGTCACTTCCGTGCGGCGCAGGAGCCACTTCTGTGTGGGGCTGGCTGCTGCGCCGCACGACGCAGGAGACGCTGCCCAAAAAATATTGGGGAAATGGCAAAAGCTCTATGGGGGAGCTTTGTGCACTGCAAGAGGAGACGGCGCTGTGCCCAGTCTTTTGGCATCGGGCAGACAGTAGTGAAGGCAGCTGCTGGTGTCAGTGCAGAATATTGCAACAAGTTTGTGCACAGTTTTCAGCTTATGTCCTTACGTGTTGTGCCTGAAGGTCAAAAAAGATGCCATGTACCTGTTGTTTACTCGGGTGTCGGTCAGGACCACATGTCCTGTGTTTTCTCATTCTTTTATTCATCTTAACACTGCCCCATATAATTCACTAGGATGCGTGGGCAATGACGAAAACGTGTCGATGTTTTGGCTGCTTAGAACTGCGAGAAAAGTGGAAGTGGCATACTTAGGCAAGAGAGGGGTGGTTTCGCGAATGGTTACCCGGATGTGTGTATTCACGAAAAGTGCTTTGATGAAAGTTATAGTGGCTGCGTGAACCAGCGGCCAGTCGGAGGTGTTGCTGTGACACCACAACGTGATGCTCTAAATCTTTTGCTGGAAGTCTTGCGAAAAATTTTCTGTGGCCTTTCAGTGCATTTGTCTAGCGCAAAAAGCTCCTGAGCTCGCCAGCCTACCCAGCGAGAACGTAAAATATACACACAAGGTATAGGCCACACATCTGAAGCTTGTAGAAGGTATAGGCAAACATCTGAAGCAACGTAGTTTTTATAACTATTGCGCCATCGTGCTTGTAAAACGTTGTACTGTTATATTTTTCCATCTGAAATGTATTTTTAAGTATATTGAAGGTACACAACCTAGCAAATGAAACAACAGAAGAATGGCTAGTTGGTCGAGTTGGTAATGATCTATATTATACTGCACAGAAAACTTACGGAAGCATGAAAGGAAAGAAAAGGACAGACAAGCACAGACTATCAATTGAAGCTTTATCGCAACACCCTGGCAATATATAAAGGAAAGGATAAAAAGCAAGGGTGTGCAAAGGGGGAGGAGGAAAACAGGCACAAGGGACCAAATCAACAAAAAATCTAGGCCACATCAGGAATAGCACGCACGTCATACATTGTCTGTACCTTTCTGTCTTTTCGTGTTTGTGTCCGTTTTTTGCGCAGTGTATTATGGATGGAAATAAAACAAACTTGCTTCTCAAATCTTGTTGACCTCCCTTTTCTCTGGCTAGTAGTGAGTTGTAAAGGCACAATGAACTGATGTAGTTCTCTAAAGCTAGTAAAAGAGCAGCACTTGAAAGAAAATACAATTTTGTGCTCTGTAATGCAAATGTGTGACATTACTACTGCTTCCAGTTGTACTGTCATATTGACTTACTATTAATTTTTTATTTACATTTAAACCTGGAGATAGCAATATAAATGAATTTTCACATAAATTTATTATAAAGAGAATTTTGTTCTGTTTTTATTTTTATTAGTAGGAAACGCTCAGTACAAGTTGCCACAGTCTTTTCAAAAAAAGGCCACCAAGGAATTCACATCATTAAGTTCATTGAGGGGTTCGAAATCATCAATAGAAAAGGATAAAAGATCAAGAACAGACGCATCATCGGCTCGTGAAAAATCGGGGAATGTAGAATCGACAAAATGGTTGCTACGAACAGGAACAAAAATAGATAATAGAACGACCTTGTGGTCTGAAATGCCATCAGAAACTTTGCATTCCAACCACTGTCTAAGAGAAAAAAATGAACCAATACTAAATCTAAAACTGCATCTCTTTGTGTGTTCATTTCAACAATGTGTTTCAATGCGAAATATAGCGAAAATTCTAACAGAACTTTGCTGATTTCTATGTCATAGCCTGTGAGCGAAAGAGATGGCCATAAAATGCCTGGAGTGTTCAAATCACCCAGGCAGATAAAGCTGGAAGTAAATAAGAAGTGCTCGTGCATGAAAGTTGCTAAAGCGAGAAGCTGATCTATGTTTGATGATGGTGAGCAGTAACCCACACTAAAGACTATGAAAATACTTCCGAAAGAGATCTTGCGCCAAACAGATTCGGTATCAGGCGGAGTGGGGATAGCTGAAAATTTAAGATGAGACGGTAAGAATAGTGCAACACCCCCTCCCCTGCCATGACGTCTGTCAGTTCTGACGACCATAAAACCTGGAGACATTGTTTGCCTGTCAGATATATGTTCATTCAAGCAAGTTTCTGTTACGTTAGCTTTGTGCGGTGAATGGGCCGTCATAAGCGAACAAAATTTTGGAAACCTATTGACTAGGCTTTTGGCATTAACATTTAACAGATGTGCAGTGGGGACATCAGAAGGTGTTTTCTGGCAAGAATGGATCCTAACGATGTTATTAGTGTCATCATTTTAGTTGTATCGAACTTGATCTACAAACGCATGATCAAAGCTCAAGCGTACAATGCAGCCATTATTCCGAAAGGACTTTGATGCTTCCCATATCTTCTTTCCGATGGTTCTTACGTACGATGAATAGTCTTTGGAAACGTGAAAGTTAGACCCTTTAAATTTATTACAGTTTTTAAGGACAATAGCTTTTTTGCGATAATCGGGCAGCTTTATGATAATGGGGCGCGGATGATCGGATTGCGTACGCCCCAATCTGTGACACCTTTCACTATTTGGGCAATCAATTTGTAGAATTCTTTTGGGCAATCAATTTGTAGAATTCTTTTGGGCAATCAATTTGTAGAATTCTTTTGAACCATTCAGAGGAAGAGGTTAGACAGAAGAAAAAAAACAAAAGAAAAAAAGGGACACAGACCTCGTCAAACCGCTATGTGGATTTTTGTCTGTGTTCCTGTTATCTGTACCATGTATAGATGCGAAAATAAAGTTCAAGGTCGGACGATTCATCCTGTATCTCAGCAAAACCATGCTCCAGCAAGTTAATACGGCTAAACCGGTTTTCAAGATCATCATTACACATAACGAGTTGATTGATCTTGATTTCCAGCTGCTGAATATGGCTGTTCACATTATTACTGGCAGCTGAGGATGAAGGTGCAAAAGGAAGCGATTATATTGCGCAGACACGAGTCTCCAAAACATTGAACCTAAAGTTGGCAACTTCATGAAGTTTCTCGATATCAGCTATATCTTGTGATATACGTTTCTTACCCTTAATTAAATCTGTAAGCATTTGAGTCACTGAAGACAACTCAACTTTGACAGAATCAGAATCACCCATCTCATTGACAAAGGACGAACCACGTAAACGAGTGCTAGTCTTGTTTAACTTAGTAGGCCCCGAAATCAATTTTACATCGCCGGACAAAAGAAGCCTGCTAACGCAGACTATAAGGTCAGAGCAATCAGAATATCAGAGCTACATGGCAAACTGTGTGGGCGAGACAACAACATCGTGAAGCAATTATCTGAATGTATGCACTTGGCATTCCGAAGGTAATATACTGCGTAAAAAGCAGGAAACGGCTCAGCATTACCGTTAAAGCTGCTGGGAACTTGCCCACTGAAGAAGGCAGGCGTCATTGATGTCCTTATATGCCTAGTTGATAGTGTCACCGATCCAGGTTGGTTGAAAATTGAAGCAGCAAGGATATCGTCATCATAGGGGACGGCACATTGAATGTCAGCTGACGAGGTTCATGATGGGGCCGTTCCCGCCACCAAGACGCAAGCTGTGCACGGACCAAAACTTAATCAAAGAAGGGTAGTTCATGCCATTGCTTTCTGGGTGAAGAAATTCGGACGAGTGGTTGACAAGATTGACGAGGCAGGCTTAACGCTGCGTAAAAAGCAGAAAATGGTTCAGCATTCCGCTAACGCTGCTGTGAACTCGTTCACTCTCTATAGATGGCGACAGTGGCAATGAGCCAGCGACTTCTTGCTGTGTGGGTTTCTGTGAGAATTTCGCTACCAGCCTAAATATAGCTTGTATTTCGCACCATTTATCCTTACCATATGGAGGCATTGTGTGCATTAACTCTTTCGTTACCATGCCTATTCAAATCGATCACCGGTGACCGACGCTTTTGGATCATCGTTTCAGGCATGTTAAATTTGTTTCTCGTGCACTCAGCACTTCTAGTAGTTAGTCCAGCCACTCAACTTTCAGAATGAATTTGAATTTGCTCGTTTTCACAACATAGGGATTTTCGACGGACCTTTGCGTGAATCAGTGTGCGTGTATTTTTGGAAAAGTGCACTAGGTTGGCGAAACGGACAAAAGTTTATAGCTTCTTGATGACGCGGCCGGAAGCCAGCTTCTTGGCCTCAACGGAAAGAGCATTTCTCCGTGTTGAAATTTAAATTTACCACCTCAGCTGGCTCCTCCCTTTAAAAACAAGCTCACAAAAAGCAAATGTTTGAAGGTCGTTTCAAGGCCCCTGATTGGCTGAGGCTGCCATGTTGCCCCAGCTCGCCTCGCCGTTGGCCCGATGCTCGCTCCGGGAAATCTTCGTCTGCTGCTTGTGCGTCGCAAGGATATGGGTGTCAAAAATCGCTAGTTCGTGACGTGTTCACTGCTCGACTATCACTTAGGATATAATTACGCTTTAGTTAAGAGCTGTAAGCGGATGCTCGATCAGATTACTTAGAGCGGGTGCGCGGTTGCGCGTCATCGAAGTCCTCTTTAGACCTAACTCCGCTGATGGCGAGACGAACTTTGCAGGCAAGAACGACGCACTAGCGCACTCATGGCAATGTGCTTCTTCGCAAGCAATGAAGACATCACTCGCTAGCTCCCCGGAACTGCGGACAGGTATTTTACACACCGGCAGCGCACTTCATAGTCGAGCTCGAAGTACTGTGAGGCCATTCTTAGTGTTGGTGCCAATTTTCATAAATATCCAACCAGAAACAAAAAATTTCGTTTTGAAAGGCACGTCCCTCCTTAATGAAAGAACACCTAGTGTGTGTCGTGCATTACAGAAAGTGGTTTTAGAATCGTTGTTTTCTTGTTTGTAAAGCTGAAGTAAGGTTTGTTGTGTAATGCCTTCAATGGAGATCTCTCGTATTTTATTGTCTTAATTTTATTTACATCTGCAGACGGGGTTCAAATGCTTCCCTGACACTGGATCTGAACAAGGCAAATCAGAATGGTAGATTCAGCCCAAATGGTAGCAAGGACAGGTAAGTCTCCTATCTGATGAATCACTGGTTATGTATAGCTTTTTTTCTCCAAAGCAAGATTGTACAGTGATGTGCTACCGTTGATACATTTTTTGAGAGGGGCCATAACAACTCCATACAAACGGGGAAATGTGAGAGCCAAGAAGCAGAAAAATTGAAAGATCTACTCACAGTCAAATGCACAGCTTTATTTCAATGCTTATGCTTGAAAAAAAGAAAACATTGCAGCATTAGCTTGTGCAAATTTATTACAGCCCACCAATTTCATTTTATTGGGATATGGACACTATAGACAGAAATCTTTGCTGTCAACATTGTGTTCCATATCAAGTCCTAACCGATCACATGGCCCATTGCAAGGTATCTTCTCTGTGCATGTGAGGCTGGGTCAGGTATGGTTGTGGCCAAGAAAGAAATTAAATATACACGATCCTCTCCATCACACAGTGGTGCATTTGAGGAAAGCCAAACTTCTAGTTGACTGATAGTTGCGCAGGTTGTTCGTGATTGTGAAACAGTACTATGAAGAGATGCAAAACACTGGCAATGAAGAGCACAGGAGCCAAACTCTCAGCTATTCTTTATTCACTTCAACAGACACTTTAATGCTCACGCATGGTCACACATGGCATAAAAACAGTTCTAAGATTATTACAATACTGCCTCATGTGAATTCTGAGCACAACTTTGGGTTATCATGGCAAGGCCAACTGTTCTTGAAGTTTTCGCTTTCTGCACGGTATTGGCTACGCCATAAATAGTAATCTTTTGCGAAGTAGGACAGCACCCACTATGCCAATATTCGTGATTCTGGGGATAAGCAGGGTACCCACTACACCTCAGTAAGGCATTGTGTGAATATGGGGATGCTTCATATGCTTGTGCAAATATTGTAGCATTTAAATTTGCTTTGATTCAAATATAAATAATTTCAAATTTGTAAGTATTCGAAATGAACAAGTGGATGTATATTCCTTCACTTGTAACCCTTCGTAGAGGGGGTTTCTCTGCTGTGAAGGGTTGCTAAGGCATGAAAATACTTATCCAGGACAAATCCGCACTGCCGTGAAGCCCACTTCAAGATTAAATGAACATATTACCCTCTAATCGTTTCATCATTTTTTTAAGCTTAAAGTTTGTTGTACTGTCTTACATGCTGTAAGTATAGTAAATTTCAAACATAACATATTTTACAGGTTATTACTAGCATTCTATTAAAAGTCAAATCCTGCGACTCTACAAAATTGTTTTCAGTTTCTTTGAACGGTAAAGAGTGGTGTTTGCACAGGCCTTGTTTCAAATTTCACAAAGTATTGTGCAGGTTAGTTGGGTCATCAAAAATATGCCCATTTTTTTTTATAATGTATGATACAGTCTACTGTCCTTACAACGGACCGTGATAATCTGGCAAAATGAGTCTGTGTTGTCACGGGCTAAGTAGATGCCTGAGGATGACGACGACGAAGTGCTGAACGGGAACGTGCTCGGACTGCAGCAGCGTCGTACGCATTAGCTCGCCAGTATATTCGCCAGTACGCATTTGCTCGCTAGTGTATACTTTATTCCCCGTAACATCATTGGTGGAAGGTGCGGGGTACCACTCGCTATACAGCCCAACGAGCTGGATCTTCGCAGCGGACGGCGCATTGCAACTACCACAATGACTGACCAGGCTACTCAATGTCAACAAGATCCGTCAGTCCCGCAGCCGATCGTTGTGGTGCAACCTCGTGACCCAGGTCCATTCAACGGCACAAGTGGCATCGACGTCGATGACTGGCTGGTTCAATATGAGCGCGTCAGCAGCAGCAACCATTGGGGTCCGACGCTTATGTTGGCGAACATCATCTTCTACTTGCATGGCACGGCAAAACTCTGGTACGAGACACATCAAGAAGACTTGACTAGCTGGGACGTCTGTAAGCAGAAATTGCGCTATCTATTTGGGAAACCCATCGAACGTCAAGTGGCCGCAAAGAAAGAGCTTGCGACTCGTGCCCAGACATCCACAGAGCCGTACATCGCGTACATCCAGTACGTGTTGGCTTTGTGCCGCAAGGTCGACAAGGACATGCTCGACGAGGACAAAGTCGGACACATCCTGAAAGGAATTGCGGATGACGCCTTCAATTTTCTCCTGTGCAAGGACTGCTCGACGGTGGAGTCAGTCATCGCAGCATGTCGTCGCTTCGAACAGGCAAAAAGTAGGCGCATAGTTCACCGATTTGACCGCCTTCCCAACACGGCGGCTACGTCCTCTTGCGAAGATTTGCCCACACTACACCAACCACCAGCGCCAGAAAACGTCACCAGAATAGTCCGTCGGGAACTCGAGGCTATGGCTCCCGCTATGTCTAGCGTCAGCGCGCCAGGACACAACCTCGATGCTGTTTCAATGATACAGGCCGTGGTTCGCCAAGAGATCGCGAATATGAGCATTTCGCCACCTCATCAAAATGCCCCTGCTACTTCCAGCTCGGCTCCAGTCGTTGCAGCTGCCACTCCGAACCGCACGTTCGCGCCACGACGAAACCCAGCTGAATGGCGCACTCATGATGATCGGCCCATATGTTTCACGTGCCATCGAATAGGACACATCGCTCGCCATTGCCGCAGCCGTTGGACCCCATCACCTCGACCGAGCTTCTATGATTGGCGGCCTCGCTCTGAACGTGCACCTCATGCCCCGTCCTACCGTGCTGAGACAGGTGCAGAGCATAATCCAGAACGTCGGACCAGCCGCTCGCCATCGCCCGTGCGTCGTCAGTCCCGCTCGCCCCAACCCCGCCGTTCTCGGTCTCCCTACGACCGTCGCTCGGAAAACTAGCCGGTGCAGTCCCCGGAGGTGACGCTGCATACACGACTCGGACTGCAAATCCTCTGATTACTCCCCACCAGCGGTGCAACCTCCTTACAATTCTCGTTGATGGTTTACCTATAACTGCTCTTATTGATACTGGTGCACAAATATCTGTGATGAGCTTAGACCTCCTCCGCCGCCTCCAAAAAGTTCTGACGCCTGCGATTGCACCTACCGTTCGTACAGCGGATGGGAGTACTCCTGCTGTGCTTGGAATGTGCACTGCGCGATTAACAATTTCTGAGCATCAAGCTTCAGTTCTGTTCGCTGTACTGGAAAATTGCCCTCATGACCTCATCCTTGGACTCGACTTTCTGACTTCACACGCTGCGCTCATTGACTGTTCCAAAGGTCTTCTTCGGCTCGAACTACCATCCTTTTCGGAGACCGTCTCTACCAGCCCACCTCGTCTACGCTCTGTCGGTTTCCTTAGACTTCCGCCGCAAGCCGCAGTCCAAGTCCAACTCTCGCCATATCCTGCAGTACCCGATGGTGATTATGTTGCTGCCCCAATTTCTGGCGTCGCCAGGACACGCAATGTTGCACTCCCCAACACGGTGGTTACCGTTAAGGACAACCGAACTTCGTTTCCCGTCCTCAATTTCGGCCTCTCAGCGCAAGTTAATCCTCGCGACATGTCACTTGCGCATCTTACACCACTGGTCGACCACACAGTTTCCGCTCTAACCACCGATTCGCCACCCGATTTTTCATCAACGTCGTTCTCGTCACGTTCCTGTTCCGACCTTTTCAAGCCAATGCTATCTGACAAGCTTACCTCTGAACAAGTCTCTGCTTTCTGCCGTGTGCTTGCTTCTTATCAGGACATCTTTGACTTCGGCGACCGTAATTTGGGCCAGACATCTGTGGTAACCCATCGCATCGACACCGGTGACGCTCGACCCATTCGCCGATGACCCTACCGTGTGTCAGCCCCGGAGCGTGCTATTATACAGCGAGAAGTCGATAAAATGCTTGGTAAGGGCATAATCGAACCCTCATCAAGTCCCTGGTCCTCACCCGTTGTACTTGTTAAAAAGAAGGACAATAGCTGGAGATTCTGTGTTGATTACCGCCATCTCAACCATATTACCAAGAAAGATGTCTATCCCCTACCGCGCATAGATGATGCACTCGATTGCTTGCACGGTGCCAAATATTTCTCTTCAATAGACCTTCGCTCAGGCTACTGGCAGATCGCTGTAGACGACAAAGACAAAGAGAAGACGGCCTTCGTGACTCCTGATGGACTTTATCAGTTCAAGATGATGCCTTTTGGATTATGCAATGCCCCAGCGACATTTAAGCGCATGATGGACTCTCTCCTTCGAGGCATGAAGTGGACCATCTGCCTCTGCTATCTTGACGACGTTATTGTTTTTTCCACTACTTTCGACGACCATCTTACCCGTCTGTCCGCAGTGCTTGATGTTTTTCGACGTGCCAACTTGCAACTTAACTCGTTCAAATGCCGCTTTGGGCAACACCAAATCTGCGTACTCTGCCATCTTGTTAACGCTGCGGGCGTTCAACCAGACCCTGCGAAAGTCCGAGCAGTTCGCGACTTCCCCACACCCCGCTCAGCCAAGGACGTCCGAAGTTTTCTGGGACTGTGCTCCTATTTCCGTCGTTTTGTCGAGAAGTTTGCTGAAGTAGCCTGTCCTCTAACCTGCCTCCTCAAAACGGATGTCGCATTCACCTGGGGCCAACAGCAAGCAAACGCCTTCTCGTCGCTCGTTGACATTCTCACCAATCCACTAGTCCTATCACACTTCGACCCATCTGCTGCCACGGAGCTTCGTACTGACGCCAGTGGCCACGGCATAGGTGCAGTGCTCGCGCAGCGGCAACAAGGCATGCACCGCGTCGTCGCGTATGCAAGCCGACTGTTGTCGCGCTCGGAACAAAATTATTCCATCACAGAACGCGAGTGCTTAGCTCTCGTCTGGGCCATTGCGAAATTCCGACCGTACCTGTATGGCCGACCATTCTCAGTTATTACGGACCACCATGCGCTTTGCTGGCTCTCCTCACTCAAGGACCCTACGGGACGCCTTGGTCACTGGGCGCTGCGCTTACAAGAGTACACTTTTTCCGTATCCTATAAATCCGGACAACTTCACAAGGATGCCGACTGCTT